AGGCAAACTAATGAAGTACTTCTAGATGAGGCTTTAAAAATGATGAAGCAAAGTGAAACAATGAGCGTAGGAAGTTGGATTGATTTAATGAGCGGTGAGTCGTTTATTTTTTTGTAATATTATATAAATTATTCTTTTTAATTCGAATTTTATTTAAATTTTACTTTGAAAATTCGAATTTTATTTGAAATTTTACTTTGAAAATTCGAATTTTATTTGAAATTTTACTTTGAAAAATTCTCTTAATGAATATCATTTCGCTTTATTAAAGTGTCATAATTCATAAATTGCCATTTTATTTACTCTTATATATATTTCATTTGGTTTAATTAGGTGAAACTTGGAATGTATTAAAGATTGGATACCAATTAAAACAAGTACGAGAACGTTTAGCAAAAGGTTTGGTAGATAAAGGTATTCTAAGAACTGAAAAGCGAAATTTTTTGCTTTTCGATATGGCTACACATCCCGTTAGTGACTCCTCCGCTAAAGATGAAATAGTAAAAAGAGTCATTAAAACTTTGACTCATGTTAATTCTTCTGCAATATCATCAGATCCTGATATACCTTTCAGTCAATTACGTACTGTCGCCATGGTATGTGCTGCTTATGCTGCAAATGTTTTGGAGAATGCTTTGGTACAATTGTCTCATGAGATGAGAGAGAGAGCATATACAAAGGTTGATGAATTATTAAGTGAATATTCATCTTGGCCTTTTTCAAAAAAAGTTAAAGTAGAAATTCCAGAAGGAAAAGATTTACAAATAGAGGTGGTAGCAGCTGTCTTGAATGTTTTCACAAAGATGGATAGTATCTTGTAAATTATTTAATAACAAGCGGATTTTTTTTAAAACGCTTATGTTTGATGAAAGGTGATTTATATTCAATTTTTTTAATTTGTTTAATCTTGGCTTTCTCATTATTTTAGAGTAGCTATGGTTTTTTATGGATAATTAAGACCAATTTGTATTTTTTTTTTCCGTTAAGAATTCTTTTTTATAGACAATAGCTAATTCGATTTTTTTTTTTTATTCGTTGCGATGTATCGACGTACAGTACTAGTACTTATATGTGGTTTTAATATATTTTAGTATGGGTTCAACATATTTTGAAAAAAGTTTTAATGTTAATACTTAGAATTGATTCTAAAATCTTTTTTATTAATTATTTATATATAGCAGATAGCACTATAATCAGTATTGATTTTTTTAAATAATTTAAATTGTTGATATATTAGTTAACTCAAAAAATCTAAGATCGTTACAATTTTATTTTTAGTATAAATATAAAAAAAGGATAAAAATAAATCAACCCTTTTTTTTTTCTTTTTTTTTTTTTTTTTTTTTGTTACATACTCCCAAATAATCAAGCTTGCCCTGTTATTGGCTAATAGTCTTGAATTTAGTAAATTATTTATTAGTCCGGAGAGTAGCAAAGAACTATATAATAATAGACTCTAGCTGTCGCACCAAAAATTGTCGATGCAGATCCTCGTTTTAGCTGTACGATGTAAGCAACAAAGATTCTTTTATAAATTTTTAAATCATTTATTGTCGAGGATTATGCTGAAATTTTGACCTATTTTATTATGAAATTTTAAAAAATTTTCGGGCCTTTTCGTTAGGGGTATTTTTTAGGGTTAGGTTTGGGTTTAGGGTTAGTGTTGTTAGTAAAAAAGTATATGTGAATTTTAGTAGGTAATAGATTTAAATGGGGACTTTAAATTTCAATTTCAGTATCATCCACGACATTTATTAAAGGTTTTTCAAAGACTTATTTGATTAGAGTTAATAAAATTTTTTTTATTTAGTTCTATAAGCTTTGCTGAAACTTCAACTTTAAAATTACTTTAAACTACTTTAAAAAATAATTATAAAAAATTATAATAGTTACTTTGTAGTAGCTATACATTTACTATATGTTATCAATACGCCTACTGTTAATGATTATTATAATATAGTAACTTTGGTGGCAGTAACCATACTATCTGATTTAAAATAAAATAATAATAAAATCAAAAAAAGTTATAAAACTAAAATAAAACATGGTAAAATCACAATAAAAAACAATAAAATCATAATAAAAAGAGTATACACAATATAGTAAGTGTAGTATAATATTAGTTTATTAGATATAAGAATAAAAAAATATAGTAGACAAAGTTTAAGACAAGGTTTAAAAAAATGCTATTTATTATATAATTTCAAGAGGGTGAAGGGGGCAGTATATATACAGTTATATTTAAGCTATATCACTTCTTTTTTCCAGAGCATTTTTGGTAATATAACTAAAATAGAGATATAACTTAATATATAAATTATACAGAAAAAGAAATTTTTTTTTGCTAAAAAGTAATAATATAATTCAGGTTGGGATATACCATATAAGTGCATAATAACACGCAGAGGCATTATTTCGAAAAATGGCCCGAATTAGGCTTAATTTAGGCCAAATTTCGAAATTACACCCCTGTGCATTATTACGCGCTTATACAGTAACAGTTAGCTGACATGTCATACAAAATTGATCTACTATAAATTTTTAAAATTTTTTATTATATAGATAATAAGTTATACAATAAGATAGTTTGAATTTTATTAATATATATATATTATATTTTTTAAAAACTTTATTCTACCCGCTTTACACTATAGAACCGTGGTTTATTTGACCATTTTCGTAAAATCTCTTGTTGATCGATCGGTGCCTCAAGATTAGTAGAGAGTTTTGCTTCCTACCCAAGATTATTTTCGAATATAAACACAGAGCAAATAAAAGGTATTTGAGAAGGTTGTGCCAAGCATAAGCTTCAAGAAAATATATTTTTTTATCAGGTATTACTTTACAGATCTAGGAAAACATAACATATAAAAGAAGATCGCTCTCTATATACAAGGTAAAGTTTATAAAACATCTTTTTAAGTCAACTTTAATCGGATCTATTAATAAAAAAAAAACTTTTTATTACTAGAACAATCCTTATATACTTGTTATTAGAGCTTGGTCATAAATTCTCTACTCGATTTTTTTTATACTTTGCTTTTTACTTTTAGCTACCTTTCTTCCAACATAGTAAGGTACCAAATCCTTTGATCTTCGTCCCCTTGTATTACATTTTTCTATTTTTAAAATATCTTGTTTAACGATCTTCGTGATTCTAACTACCCCTTTATTATAACAATTAAACATGCATTCATATCTAGCAGGTGTTAGTTGACTAGAGATCTCAAACAGTGGGTGCTTTTCAGATTTATTAGAGGTAATTGCTTCGTAAAGTGTATTTACTAGCTTCTATAATGCCTCTTTACGATTATTCTTTGCACGCACGGTTTTACTTAAACAGGTGTCAGTTACGTATTCCACATACAATGCCATCAATTGATCTCTTTCGTTTTTGGCTGCTTTAATTACTAATTTTAAGTTGTCTATGTCAGTTGGATGTCCAGTCATATTTTGTTTGACGAATTTTACGCCAAAATACTCAAGTGCTTTATCAAATCCAAAAAAATTTTCATCTGCAGTAAGATTTATAGATCCAACCGCTTGAAGTTTTGCTTTTAGTATTGGGTTTGTTTCTATTATCATTAAGAAACGTGGTACTGATTCTGCATATCTACTTTTCCAGTGACGGGAAATAGCAGAGCAAAAGCTTTCAAATGTTCATGTTGAACTTCGAAATTACCCATTCGAATGCCAATTTTATGAAGCTTAAGCCAACTTGCCCATTGATAATATTTGTACCAACTTTCAAAACATTATTATTTTCATTCTTGATATCTTCTAGTGTTATGCCATGGTTGTCCACATATATATAAATAACAATAGCTACAGCTGTCCAGATAAGCTCAAAAACATGAAATGTTGCTCAGTAATCAACAACATTCTGAAGCTTTTCCAAGAATTTCGTGACAAGTGTAGATGCTAATCCAAATAATCCATAACCAGAGAAAGCGACGATTAAAGCACTACACATATCTTTGCTCGTATGCCACTGACCAAGGATAGGATTTAGTTTTAATCGATTATTGGAATAATCTGTAAGTCTGTGAAAGATAGCTTCATTATATACAATGTCTAATGAGTCTTCTTGATTCAAATTTAGATCTTCTATATACATTTCGCAAGTTCTATGAACTGCAAGATTGCTGTTTGGAGCAGGTTCAGCTTCTAAAATGATGACGTTTGGTGGAGGAGTCTTGCATCCACTTCCCACTGATTCTTTGAGTCAATGTTTATTTTATCCATAGTAAACTCCATCGGATATTCTGCCATTAACCGTCTAAAGATTTGAGTAAGATTTTCCATCCACTTTTCTA